TGATAGCGGTATCATCGTTCGAGTTTTGGGGTCTAAAATTTTTTCTTGCTTGTGCAATTAAATCAATATTGTGTGTGAAATAATATATTATGAACCATGCCAAAATTTTTTGTAGATCGTGTTTTGTATGTTGTGAAACGTCGTCTTTCGTGAAATTTTCTTTAATGATGTTTAAATAACTAGAGAGTAGTGTGATTTCATGTCGTACTCTTAAATGTTTAGATGTTTCTGTCGGTGAGACATTTGTTATTGGGATTTCGTTTTCTAATATCGAAATATAACTATATATTATTGCGAAAACTTCATTGGTGAATATGGAGTTTGCTCTTTGTGAGTTATGATATTGGATGCTTTTTATATATTCTGAAAAAACTTTTGAAAATTCTAAATCAAGATCGTCTGTTTGAATTGTATATTTTCTATTATTATGGTTTGGTGAGGTGAATTCTATGGAGTAGATTCCATACTGTTGTGTTATGTTGCATATATCTTTTAAGTAGTGGTCTATGATTTGTCTTTTGATTTTTACATCTGGGAACTCTGTTTTACATGGACTGATTCCGGGTTCAAATAAATTTAATAGTAAATTTTTGCAAAATATATGCTGTCCTCTATCAGTGGTTGCATCTACTATAAAAGGAAAGATTTCATCATCATCTGGACTTTCTTCACCTGGGGTGTGCGTTGAGCTCATTTTTTCGTTCGATGACTGTTAATATGTAATTATTAATGTGTCGAATTGGTTGATTCCAATTGTATAAATGTACTGGTTTGTGTTTATACTGCTTTTTTATTCTTCTTTTTCCTCTTTTTGATGAATTTGAAGTTGTTTCTGAGTCAGAAAAATATAATTGATCGTGAAGTGGGTAATTTTTATCTATTGATTCTTTTAGTTTGTAAAGTTCGTCTAAACTGTTGGTTTCTGATTCTGAAAATGCGTTTCGATTTTTTGAAAATCTTTTTCGTGTTATTTGTCTTTGTTTCGTTATTATTTTTCTTTTCAGTGTTTGTCGTTTTGTTCGAATGTATCCAACTGTTTGTGTATGAGGTGTGATTACAAGGTCGTATTTTTTGTTATCTATTTCACAATTGTGTAAAACGATTGTTTGTTTATTTCCTAGGTTTTTAAATGACATAAGGTTTAGGATGACGGATGCAAAAGGTTGTTAAATGATTTCTATTTTCCTAAACTGTTAGTTCTTACGATTTTTTGGTTAGCTTAACCTGGGTCTATTTGTTCAGGGTTGGAGAGAAAAGTATATCGATTCCGAAGAATGATTTTTTACTTTCTCGTGGCTAGTATAAGTTAAGGTGTTAACTTACTTAATCTTACTTAGGGGTAGTGATTGTGTTCAAGGGTTGGAGAATAGTAAATCGATCCACAAGGTTCAGGTATAATTAGAACGCGAGTAGTTCGTTAGGTACTATTTTAAACTTACTAAGTCTAAGATTTATCCTGGGTCTGGTAAGAGGGGGGGTCAAGTGAAGGATGAATAACCGAAGTTCTTCACTGTTTATCCTAATTTGAATGATTAGTTTTGTTTAAAAATTTCTATTAGTCTTGGGTCTTTAGAAAGGGTTGGGTAGTGAATCGACGTTTGAGGTCGTTAGACACTAATTAAGTGGGTGGGGGAGAACAAAGTTGTTCTGTTTGATCCAAGGATAAGCCTTGATGATCAAATTTGAAATTTAATTAAGTAGAAAATGATTTAAGATCCAAGGATAAGCCTTGATGATCTGGTTTTAAAATTAAGTGAATTTAAGTTTTAATAAAATTTTAAATGTGTGTAAAGGAAAGATTTAGTGTTTTGATGATATTAGTGGGTTTATGATTGCTGTTATGTTTTAGGTGATGGAGCTGGAACAACAGGATGATTTATGATTACTAACCATTTATTGTCATGCTACTAATTTTTATTTTTTATTTTTCAATAAATATTTTTCAAACATATTTTGTATATTACTGCAGAGTTTTAGGAAAACGATCTTAGATCTTTTTATCAATCGTTATTGTATATTAATAATTTTGTTTAGCGCCTGTGATGATTTTGAGGATTGACTTCAAAATTTTAGGTTTGCAAATGAAAATCTAAATTCATTGCCAGTAGTATTCTAAATATAAAAGTTTGTTCTGGTTTTTGCCTAACTATCATATAGCTATATGGCAAGTTTCTACTTTGTCGTATGTCGTCTCTGGTTCGAGGTCTTCTTCCAATTCCGGGTAGTTCTGTTATGGTTCGGAATATTGGCTCTGATCTATTGAGTCGTAGAGTCATTTCGATTAAATTATTGTCGTATAACATTTTTTAAATGTTTTTGTCTAATTTCTAATCTATTTTGGTTAATTCTAAGCTATTAAGGTCTTGTTCGAGACTTATGGTCGCACCAGATGAGTTAGGACCGATGTGGTTAACTCATAGAGTAATTTCGGATAGGGTACACCGTCTGCTCGTCACGCTATCTTATTTTCGGCCGGATAGATTCGTGCAACTTCTTAGTCTAATACCGATCCTAATCTTACTCTTATACTATCTAGTCTCAGGTTGTTTAACTAGTCTCTGCTAGGCTCAATAGATCTAGGGTATACTGGTTTATTGCGGCTGCTGAAGTGCTCGGGAGAGTCCAACTAATTTCTAAGTTAAATTCAAATCGCTCTGGTGCTGAAATTACAAGTAACTTCAGCACTTACAAATAAGTGGGTTGTTAGTTTGATGGATCATGATTGGTTAATATAAAATACTTTACATTGGTAAAATATCTAAATTATCCAATCATAAAATGTAGTTTAGATCAGGTTCCAGTAGTAATTTGCTTTAAATTATGCAGCAGTTTTTTCGATTGCACTTTCGGCGTGTTTTTTGCTGTTACTGTAGTATTCTCATTTTAATCATCTTTAAAAAGATTTCTGTTGAATTTTAAAGTATTGTTTCAACTTTTCATTAATTCACTCAATGCGCTGTAATACCTCGAATCTGATTCCAACTCAATGAGCTAGGGCTAAGATTTATACGTTGAATGGCGTCAGTTGCGCAAAGGTTCAATTTTTGAAAATTGTTTATCCTTTTTTATTAACGCGTTAGACTCAAATAAATGATTCGACAAGTTTACAAGTTTCCCTTTTTGATTTGTGTTTTTGACTCAGTACATATAACACCTCCGCTTCTCCCAGCTATTTCTGCCACTTTTCAATCAATTCTATCAGTTGTTGTCTTTGTGTATAAATCAAATTGGTTACATGAGGGTTTATGTGAAGTATAAGAAGAAAAACGAAAGACTACAGGTTTGATTATTTAAAAAAAAAGATTTTCAAATTTGTATAAATTATTCAAGAGATAGAGCTTAGGACAGTGGCGAGGGGGTGGTGTTTCGAAATTTTTTTTAGGTCGACCAATTTGATTTTCTGAGGTCTCCGAAAATACTCTAAGGACCCTATTTTGTCAACAATTTACTGCGCTGCAGGCAATTTTTTTTGAAAAAACAGGCCAAAGGAGATCGTTTTTGGGCACTTCTCGGAAAATGGATTTCGATTTCGTTTTTTTTTTGGCGCGCGCTCCCGCCTCAAAATTAGTTATATTAGTTAAGGCACGCTACTTGCCAATAATATAATTCTTCTTGTAGAAAAAAAAACATTTTCAAACTCTGTTTAATACCATTCAAATTTAAAGTTAAAAAAAGGGTACTTGGACCCTCAATTGCGTTTTTGAGAAAATCCTGGAACTCCGTGTGCAGTTTTTGTTTTCCCGCGGTACTCGCCCCTCGGGTGTTCTATCCAAAATTCATTCACCTCAGTAACAAAGTAAAAAATAATTTTTTTTGAGTACATGACAAAACAACTTTCAACCTAGATTGAACTCCCACTCATAAAATCTTGGATGTATAGTAAAATTAACAAAGAAAGCCGGTTACTGTTTAATTAGCACAGAAGGTTCTGACCATAGTCTGAAAAAAATGCCACGTTTTTTTTTCAAATCAGTGCATTTTTTTCTCTGATTTCATTGTAAGATCTAAACAAAAAACTAGAAATTAGGTATATTTGACAGTCATAGTCAAATAGGCCAATCCGAAAACAGTTTCTGCAGAAAAATTACTAAAAAAACGAAAAAAAAAATTGTAAGATAAATTTAGGAAATTTTTGTATTTTTTTTGCGGAAATTTCTTTTATTTTTGAAGATTTTGTTTCCCAAAATAACGCTAAAAATTTTCAAAAACTAACCTAACTTGTGTAAAAATAAGTTTTCACGGCTTAAGTAAGGCTTATTAACCTTATTTTGACACACACCTTATTAGCTCAAAAACAGACCAAAAATCAAAAATTTCAAACCAGTTTTTGTCGACGCTGAGAGTTTTTTCTCAAAAAATTTATTGTTCGAATCACGACTGAAAGCGTTTTAACTTGACCTATTCAGATGATTTTGTGTGGTACTTGATATGGCGTCAAAAAAAAAGAAAAAAAAGAAAAAGATAACTAAAAATGTTCCTCCACATTTTTCGAATGGTCAGAACAATAAATTACTACAAACAGAAATGAGATCATCAACCACCGTAAAATATCACTAACTGCTTTAGATATGATGTGCTTAAAATTTCGAAAAGTTTTTTCACGTTGCTTAGTGTTTTTTCACATCTCAAAACTTGCTATAGTCGCTGTTTCCCCGCATTACTTTAAGATCGATTTTAAATATGTGCCTCGAAAAATCTAATTTTTGTTTGGGGAACCAGCTACCAAACTTGCGTAATTGACCTCTTTTCCAGTTCCCCTTTTTGATTTTTTTTCTGCTATTCAATATATGAAAGTGTTTTATTTTAAAATGACGGTTCATGTTATAAACTGCATTAAAACGTCTCAGCTTGAACAAGTGAACAAATCTTCATATCATTTCTTATATGCCGTGGAAGTATTTTTTGAAGAGCTTCATCTTATATTTTTACGAGTAGCATGGGAAACTGGAAAAGATCCCGTTATTGTTTTTACCGAATGATTTTCTAAAAAATGTATTCAGGCAAACGAGTTCTGGTAGTGGGCTCTTCTTTCTCTGCCGAAGACATAGCCATGCACTGTCAGGCAGCAGGGGCCAAGTATGTGACCATATCGTACAGGAGTCAAGCACAGCCCCTCGCCTACCCGGAGGGCATAGATGTCAGACCCATTCTGCAGCTGATAGACGGAAACACTATCAGGTTAAAACAACGACCACCCCTCAAACCAACCACCCAAGGGCGGATCTATGATTTCCTCGAGGAGGGGCGGATCTACGATTTCCTCGAGAAGGGGGCGGATTTTCTAAAAGTTTTCAAAATTTTTGCGGACCCTTTTTTAGATCGACGAAATTGATTTAGTGAGCTCTCCCAAATCAGAATAAACACCCTATTTTGTCCAAACTATCTGAGCCGCGTGTGAGCAAATTTCTGTAAAAACAGGACTAAAAAATATATTTTCAGGCGTTTTTTTGTTCCCAGCTCGAAATTAATACATGTTGGCGTCAAAATAATACTGAGAATGGGGCCCTTAGTTGGGGGGTTCACATAATACCTGGGGGCGGGGGGGGGGGGGGCATTTGCCTCTTCGACCCCCTTCAACACTAAGTCCGCTACTACAACCACACCCTCCTCTATGTCCACCCTTGAAATTATTGGTCACACGTCACAAATAATCAGTAAAAAACAAGTCCAGAATTTTTTTCTTTACTATAAGACCGAAAAAAAACTTATGAAAAACGGGTATACAAGATGATAGCTGAGCTCAAATCGACTTTTGTTTTGCTCATTCCAGCTTCAAAGACGGCTCCAAGCAGGATTATGACGCAATAATCTACTGCACTGGCTACCTGCACAAATTTCCATATATAGAAGAAAATCTGCAGCTGAAGACTCCAAACAGACTGGCTGTGCCTCTTTACAAACAGGTGGTGTTTCCGGACAACCCCCAGCTATTCTACATTGGCATGCAGAACCAGTTCTACACCCACCCCATGTTCTGGCTCCAAGGTCACTTATGTGCCAAAATCATAAAAGGTGAAACGAGTTCAAATAAGTTTATCAAAAGAACAATAATTGTTCCCATTGCTGTGTAAGTAAAACATAACATTCTCACCACCGTTATCATTGCAACACAGTATTAAATAAACAAAAAAAACAATGATTTACCGGCACTTTATAATATTTTTGGAATATAAAAAGGAGCTAGCCATATATTAGGAAAAAAGGAAAAAGACAGTTGATTTTTTTATAGGTAGACTAAATCGAAGCCACAAAGTTCTGCTTTTTGATAAATTTTGGTCACAAAACAATAGCAAAAAAACACAAACTAGCTTTTCTGAATCTTGAAAAAATTTATCGAAACATTTTCGGAATCCGAGTCCCGCCGAATGTTCTTCGTTATGTTGCCACGCTCGGTCGATCTTCGCTGATATTCATTTTCTGGGGCAACTGTGTAGGAATACAAAAATAAGCTTTTTTGTGAAGTAATCGGAACAACCTAGAATCAGCAATTGTGCATGTTGTTAAGTATGTTCTGTTAATCGTGCTAATTTTTCTCCATTTTTATTTCTGCTAATTTTACGCATTCAGTGGAGAGAACTGAAAGTTTGTTTCAAGTGTTACGTCAAACATGTAAGCTAGATTTAGTGTACCAAATTTTTCGAGCCATTTTTTTTACTACAATTGATGCTTGAATTGCGAATTAAACAGCCCATCTCAAATAAGTAAATTGAAAACTTTTCGACAACTCTTGATGATTGTTCATGGAACAATAGTACTTGCGACTTTCCGAACAAACGTGAAAAATGAAATGACAGATTATAAGTTTGTTCGGACAGTCGCAAGTATTCGTGTTCCATGAATATAGTCATCAACTGTTGTCGCAAACGTTGCCAAGTTTTTAGAGGGCTTTTTACTCCGCATTTCAAGCAAACGTGACAAAAACTTTAACCAGTTTTGACAATTCAGGAACATCGCTCACACTTTTTTCATTTTCCCCTCTTTGAAGGGTCTAGATTACTCTCGGCGCCTCCAATGATGAGCAACATGTTCAATTAGTTTGTATAAAACCAATGTACAGATCTAAAAAATAACATGCTTGATGAGACATAATATTTGAATTTGAACATATAGCCGGGGCAAGTGGTCACAAGAAAGCAAATAGTTTCAGAGAATAAAATAACATTTTATACAACTGAAATATCAACATGAGAGTGATATAACTTTTGATGGAAAAGCAAAAGTATCACTTGCAAACCAAAGTAATTGGACCCACAATCAATAGTTGAAGCATTTCATACCAAAGATCAAGTAATTTTCGGGCCCCTCCATTGATATTAATCATCTTTTCACGCCTTTTTGATGACGTGTCACGAAAAAAATGAGCCTCTAAATAGATGTCTCGCCAATATACTCTGAAGGCCTCTCTCGCAATCAGCACAACTTTTTTCAACCACTTCTGAAGTACTGGTTGAAAGGGGCGCACTTCAATTTTTTTTAAAAAAAGAGAAATGGATCATCTGAGAACAATGGAAATTCCATGTAGACACAAACTCAGTCAAATCAATAATTAAATGACACCAAATTGTTGTTTTACGGAGATTTTTCTGTAATGGTTCCAGTAAAATCCGCAAGATTTGAGCGGTTTTTGGGCGGTTTTTTAAGAAAAACCGCTCAAAACCGTTCAAATTTTAGGCGGTTTTTGGGCGTTTTTTTTTCATAAAAACCGCTCAAACCGCTCATTATGAAGCAAGATTTTGAGCGCAATCGTCTAAAAAAACCGCTGAAACCGCTCAAATCTTTTTTCAAATTAGGTTTTTCAAATTATAAGCGACCCTGCACGATTTGTTCATCGATGTGGGGCTACAAACGACAGAGCTCATGCAGGGTTTTAGCTCCTTCGATGCTGGCTCAGTTTTTGTATATACGAGAGTCCGTTCACGGGCCTCCTTATGGCATGTTTGTTTATGAGAGGGGATATAATTACCTTTACATTCAATCTTTATTAGAAGACGAAGCTTGGGTATCTTAAGTTTTAGAATCTAACAAAATTAAGTGAAACATCTGGGCCATCAATTGATTTTTCTAATGACATTTTTTGAATTGTCGAGTGATAGTGTTGTAAAAAAGCTCACAAATTCAGAAAATTCAGAAAAAAAAATTTATTGGAATTACCAAAAATCCCAAGTCACCTGCTCTAGGGTTACGTTGCAAAAAGCAGAGAAGACATAGAGTAGACACGTCATAAAGTAGACATGTCATAAAGTAGACAGATACTATATTAACCAATTAGAATTGAGAACAGGGAGCAAACAGGAAGGAAATAATTAACTTTTATTTATTGATTTCCTGTGTGGGCTTTCTGTTTGCAATTCTGATTGGTTAATACAGTATTTGCCAAATTTTTGGCCGGTATGAAAAAATGTCTACTTCTTGACCGCAATACCTTGTTCTGCAATGTCAGCGGTATTAGGCGCTAACTAAAAAAACGAATGAGAACTTTCATATGACGTTTTTTTAGCATTGGCAAACTAAAATTGTTTTATCATAAGAACTGGTTTGTGATTTTCACAACTTTTTCTCACACTTTGAAAACAGATAAATTACCTAAGAAACAAGAACGCAAATGTTCCGGCTGCCTCGTAAGGTTTATGGAGCAGTAATAACATAAATATCCTTAAAAAATTAAATGTAATAAAAAAATGAATTTTTTTTATTTGAAGTTTTTTCTATGAAAATCATCCCCCCACGCGCCATATAAACTACAAAAAATAGATGTCGCTCCCTGTAATAAATTAATTATGGCAAATTAGCTTCTTTCAAACAATTTGGAACGATTTCTAAGAGTGATTAAATCTCCGCTTACGCGTTAATAGCGCGAAATATATCGCGCGTTAATTGTGAAAATCATCCCCCTACACGCCATATAAAGTAGAAAAAGATAAATTTCGCTCCTTGTTTCAAATCAATTATGGCAAATAAGCTTCTTTCAACGAATGTGGAACAATTTCAAAGACAGATTAAATCTCCGCTTACGCATTAATAGCGCGAAATTTATCGCGCGTTAATTGTCCCAAATTGGGGGGGGGGGGGAATATATTTTTAAATTTGAACTCAGGAAGTCGACACCTTCATTGTGGTATAAAAAATTTTTGTCGAAAATCATTATTTTGATCGGCAAAAACTGACTGATTAAAAAAACCACACCGAGAATGAATATTCCGTTTTCCTCGAAATTTGGAACAATAAGCGACCCTGCACGATTTGTCCATCGATGTGGGGCTACAAACGACAGAGCTCATGCAGGGTTTTAGCTCCTTTGATGCTGGCTCAGTTTCTCTATATACGAGAGTCCGTTCACGGGCCTCCTTATGGCATGTTTGTTTATGAGAGGGGATATAATTACCTTTACATTCAATCTTTATTAGAAGACGAAGCTTGGGTATCTTAAGTTTTAGAATCTAACAAAATTAAGTGAAACATCTGGGCCATCAATTGATTTTCTAATGACATTTTTTTGAATTGTCGAGTGATAGTGTTGTAAAAAAGCTCACAAATTCAGAAAATTCAGAAAAAAAAATTTATTGGAATAACCAAAAATCCCAAGTCACCTGCTCTAGGGTTACGTTGCAAAAAGCAGAGAAGACATAGAGTAGACACGTCATAAAGTAGACATGTCATAAAGTAGACAGCTACTATATTAACCAATTAGAATTGAGAACAGGAAGCAAACAGGAAGGAAATAATTATTTTTTATTTATTGATTTCCTGTGTGGGCTTTCTGTTTGCAATTCTGATTGGTTAATACAGTATTTGCCAAATTTTTGGCCGGTATGAAAAAATGTCTACTTCTTGACCGCAATACCTTGTTCTGCAATGTCAGCGGTATTAGGCGCTAACTAAAAAAACGAATGAGAACTTTCATATGACGTTTTTTTAGCATTGGCAAATTAAAATTGTTTTTATCATAAGAACTGGTTTGTGATTTTCACAACTTTTTTCTCACACTTTGAAAACAGATAAAGTACCTAAGAAACAAGAACGCAAATGTTCCGACTGCCTTGTAAGGTTTATGGAGCAGTAATAACATAAATATCTTTAAAAAATTAAATGTAATAAAAAAATGAATTTTTTTTATTTGAAGTTTTTTCTATGAAAATCATCCCCCCACGCGCCATATAAACTACAAAAAATAGATGTCGCTCCCTGTAAGAAATTAATTATGGCAAATTAGCTTCTTTCAACCAATTTGGAACCTTTTCTAAGACTGATTAAATCTCCGCTTACGCGTTAATAGCGCGAAATATATCGCGCGTTAATTGTGAAAATCATCCCCCTACACGCCATATAAAGTACAAAAAGATAAATTTCGCTCCTTGTTTCAAATCAATTATGGCAAATAAGCTTCTTTCAACGAATGTGGAACAATTTCAAAGACGGATTAAATCTCCGCTTACGCATTAATAGCGCGAAATTTATCGCGCGTTAATTGTCCCAAATTGGGGGGGGGGATATATTTTTAAATTTGAACTCAGGAAGTCGACATCTTCATTGTGGTATAAAAATTTTTTGTCGAAAATCATTATTTTGATCGGCAAAAACTGACTGATTAAAAAAACCACACCGAGAATGAATATTCCGTTTTCCTCGAAATTCGGAACAATAAGCGACCCTGCACGATTTGTCCATCGATGTGGGGCTACAAACGACAGAGCTTGTGCAGGGTTTTAGCTCCTTTGATGCTGGCTCAGTTTCTGTATTTACGAGAGTCCGTTCACGGGCCTCCTTATGGCATGTTTGTTTATGAGAGGGGATATAATTACCTTTACATTCAATCTTTATTAGAAGACGAAGCTTGGGTATCTTAAGTTTTAGAATCTAACAAAGTTAAGTGAAACATCTGGGCCATCAATTGATTTTTCTAATGACATTTTTTGAATTATCGAGTGATAGTGTTTTAAAAAGCTCACAAATTCAGAAAATTCAGAAAAAAAATTTATTGGAATAACCAAAAATTCCAAGTCACCTGCTCTAGG